CAGCCTTAATAATGGCTCATCTGCATTTTTTACTTTAACTCCTGTAACTTTACTATCGCTTTTCACTGTAAAACAAACAGCAGTGCATGGGAGCATTTCCAAAGTTTGTTTTTCTTCAGGTTTGATGAAGGACTCTCATTACTGCTGTTCTGTTATGAGTCTTTTTCTTTTTTTAAACTGGAAGCTGCTTGGCCTTAATATTGTCATACTTTTTATTTCCACGAGTGCTCCAAGACACGTTTCTACTGCAGACCTATTTTTAGTGGTAAATGTGGGTGAAAAGGTCACATTTACATAGTAACAGCTGAAGAGTTTTATAATAAAGCTATTCGCATTACTCGAAGAATCATTGCAGCCCTAAAAATGATCAATACCTATTTAGTATGTCAACAGTATCTCCTGGACAGAGGCATACACAAAAACAGCGCTTCCGTTCTGTGCTTGTGTCTGAACACATCACTGAGTTTCCGGATGCATTTGTTTTGTTACCTTGTCAGTGTCAAAGTATCTCAAGTAGTCAGCATCTAGCTTTACCCATCGTCTCTGGTAGTAAATAGCCCTGTGGATGAGGACAGACAGAACACCGAATAAAAAAGCAAATATCGCTGCCCTGTGTTTGTTTTTTAATTCAATCAAATATTTGTGTAATATATATTCTCTGATTTTTTTTAAGCATCATCATTATTATACCCCTGAGGTGGATTCTTGTCCAGCCAACCCATCTTGATGACAGCAGAAAGCTGAGAGGTGTCTTCTTTCATGGTGGAAGCCAAAACACCAGTGTTTGGTAAGTAGAAACTGCCTTGCTGGCTGTGGAGACTCCCTTCATACCTATACGTGTGTGCGCACACACAGACACACGCAAACAGAAAAGGAAAAAGAAAGAAACATCACACAAACTTCATAAGCAATTACATTTTTCATCAAAGTTTAAATCAGACAAGTTGTGCAAATGTTGTGCAAAAGTTTTGACAAAGCTAACTGTGTAACAATATAATTTTATAATATAATTACACAAAAGAGGTGAAGATCAAAGATTAGATTTCTGCAGCACTGACAGTTTGACAATATGTTGTGCAATAAAATGAAAGTAAATTATAACAAAGTAAATACAGCAGCATGTCTCAAATTAACTTACACAAACACTGCAATAAATGGACTGGTACTTATATAGTGCATTTCTATTCTAACTCAACACCCAAAGCGCCTTGTGTAACATTCACACAAACACTCTCAGGGTTCAGTAATAAGGATATTTCAACATGCAGACTGGAGTAGCTGTGGAATCGATCACTGACCAATTAGTAAAATTGGTGGATCAATACTCTACCTCCCAAGTTACAGCCATTCAGAATAATCAGCAACCAAAGGGAAACAAAACCCTGCAAACAGTGTGCTTGTATTTTAGTTTCTGAGGTTTGCATTTGTGTTGTTTTATGACTCACTCATAATCGTCGAGCACTCCATCGTCACTGCAAAGGGAACTCGGCCGCTTCTTTGTGGAATTTGGCACTTGCAGGGACATATCCTATTGGAGGAAACGGGAATGATTCACAGGATATGGCAAGAGGAAAGAAAGAGCCGAAAAGCCTGGGAGTGGTCCGATTAACAATTTCTTACCCTTTCTGGTGGGTTCATTCGATGACCAGCGGGACCAAACAAGTCTGGCTCCTCGTAGTCATTTGAATTTTCGTTGACCGTAGCCAACACTGAACAAGAAGAGAAAAGGAAAACAAATCAAGATTAAGCTAAAGTCTGGAGCAGGTTTTGCAGAACCTGAGAAACTCTGGAAACATGATATAAGGCAAGGCAAAAAGTGAGTCACACTAGTAAAACTGGATTATGTGGATATGAATTTGTAGTAATTTTGGCTGTGTCAATGTTTGTAAGCGCAAACAGACTGAATTAATAGTGAGTGAGTTTTAATGGATATGCACCAGTTTGTGTCGTCTTTCTCTCCCCTTAAAACTGGTTTTTCAGGTTGAGCATCTACTATTAAGCAGAGCCGTATTACCACTGAAACATTATACAATATTGAGGTGAAACTGTTGCAGAAGATGAAATTCTGTGGTACATTAAAACTGAAGGCAGTGGTTTGCAAATCGTTAACACACCACATGTAAAATAAAAATCAATCAACTGTTAAAACTAAGATTTTTTTAATGATATGCTTGCTTTGAATTTGAGACCAGTGACATGTTTAGAAAAAGTGAGGACAGGCCCATGCTAAACACTGTGTTGCAGTACATCTTTTTTTTTTTTTTTTTAAACCACAAACAGTAAAGTGTGAAGTGAACAACTGCTGTAGTTTTAAAAAAATATCGCTGAGCATAAATGGTTCACATGCATGCCACCCATGCTGTGTACTCCTACTTTACTGATAAAAATCTCTCTTCTCATTTTGATTGGTCATACCAGACTCAATGGGCATTTTTTGCAACTGAAAAACAAATCCAATGGCAATCATAAACAGGACACAGTTTAGCCTTAAAGTAAGTTTGGAGAACAGACAGCTATAGCTGAACACTCTTTGCGGTTCACCTCTGCAAATTCAAATCAGTGAACTGGAACTCTCAACCACGCTCATGCTGCTGTCACCTTCAGTACTTCGAGGCCTCTTTTCTTGTATTGTTTGTTTATACTTGATCAAATATTTTCAGAGGGCTGCAACCAGTCCAGTTTAACACATAAGCTCCTCCCCTACATAACCATGTAATTATAATACTTGGAAAATGTGGCACTCTCTTGCCAAAACCAACAAGACCTTTTGTGAAAATGGCATTACCGTACTTGTTTGACAGGCGATGTTGCTGCAAAGGGTTTAGATATTATGCAACAGAAATGGTTCACAGACGTGTAAGCTACCCATACTGTGTGCTCTTGTGCTATAACAATACAGTTGATGGGCCATCTTCTGCCTTAAACACTCTTTTTCTCTGTGTGGTAGAATTTTAAATTGCTTATGTGAATGCAGTGACAAACTGCATTCACTTTGTTAATGAACTGACACCTGGTCCCTAGGATGAGGCTGTTATTCTGAAATATTTCTCCAGATACTCTCTGTGATGAAAACCACTCTACCTTTGCTCATACAAGACTCACCCTCTATAATGTAATCTCTCTAGATCAATAGAAATACCAATTATATGTGAGATTTGACACAAAGTATTTTTTTAATTAATCAATTTGTTGCATTTTGTCAAACTTTTTTATAATCAGTTGCTGACATTAAGTTCAAAATTAAATACAATGACATGTTGTCTTTGTATGAGTTTCAATCAAATCTAATCCTATTGTGATTTCCATAGAACTGCATATTTCTTGTTTTGTGGACACTGGGTTTAAATGATTAAATATACAGCCAACATGACTGGATACAGCCTTTTTATACATGGTATTCATCTTTTCATAAAAAAAAAGAAAAGATGAATACCAGAGTGTTAGTGAGAAGAGGTTTTTTCTTAAAATGGAAAACCAGGTTGGTTAAATTGGCTGTTGCCACCAAGGCAAAGACAAGTGAGCTCCCTGAAAGCCTGCCTCAGGTATGCTTTTATCAACACCTGACTAGGTGTGGCCAATTAGCACCATCTGAACACACTGAGGAGAATAGAGGCTGCAGAGGGACGTAACAACCAACTTGTTGCCAATCAACAAATCTAATTTTAAAGCACTCTAGGCAAACAGGAGGAGCAGGTAGGATATCTTCAACTTTTACCTACAAATGTATATTATGATAGCGTCATATTGAAATAGCTGTAGGATGATTTATAGAAAATATTTAAATAAACTCACCTGCTTTGGAGGTCCCTCACACAGTTAAGAGAAGCTATTTGAAGTTATCTGACACGTTTGCTATCACAAAAAATGCTTTGATGAGGAAGCCCTATAATTTTAATCTGCCGGCTAACATGTGACAATATACATGCTTGTGAATGATATTCAATAACTCTGTATGCATGAAATTAAAGAACCCATTTCAGAAACCAAATAGCCATGATAGCACACACACATTATAAAAATATCTTGTCTAGCTGTCTGCCCATATTCTAAATTCAAATAACCTTTCAATGCTTTTCCAAGTATTCACTTGTGTCCATTTAATTTCTGCAACATAGGTCGAGACTGTTCTCCAGTATGAGCATCTTAAAGCAAGAAGATGAGATTACAAAGACACATGCTGACTGATATGCAGATTCAGGCCTGAGATCGACATTTTAATATAACAAAAAAAGGAGAAAAAAAAAAAAAGCCCAAAACACTGAAGCCTGACAGACAAAGCAGCAGCTTCATCCTAGTGTGACCAACTCACTACACAGTTCACCGCACAGAAGCAGGAGAAAGAGCTGTGGCGAGCAGACTGCATAATTAGTTGACCTCACAGCAGAGCTAAGGTTTAAAAAAGAGGAAGCAGTCTCGCATGGAAGAACACAGAATGACTTCAAATTCATCTTCATAAAACGAAAGTAAAAAAATCTTTATTAGTGGTTTTCTGACTTTCTCTCTTTTAAAAAATGTACTGTCTGGATAAAAATCTTGAGCCACCTCTTATTTATTTACACTTTGCTTCTAAGCAGGGCTGGACTGGGACAAAAAACAAAATCAGCCCAGGCATTTTGACTAGAGACCGGCCCACCAGGTATTATAGGAAAAGCCATAAAGCC